GGAGGGTGTGAAGGCTGTTTAATCGGTAATGATGAGACAGTTTAAATGGGACAACTTGAAGMCGTGTCTAAATTAAGCTTGTAGATTTTAGGTCACTTGTGTTTGTGAGAAACTGGTGACGACACTCAACAAGAGTCAGTGTCACTACTTTTCCTTAGGGAGTGGCTCTTCTBTTTGTTGAGAGTTTTTTTTAACCAAATGGTTAAATGGGCCTGAATCAGATGTATGATCTCAATCCAACACAAGAGTTTGTATCCCTTAGTCTTTAACTTAAATAAATTATAATCCCTTTGTGTGACATTAACAGCAACTTTTTCCACCGTGAACTTAATGTTGACCAGCTGGAAATAAGCTTTTTTACAAAAACAACAAAGTTGTCCACTTCACAGTAGTTTTACTGTAGTTTCAGCTTTAGAGGAGCTCATCTGGTCTGTTTATCACTTGGCTGGTCCTCCCTTAGCTTCTTCTCCTTTTGTCTTTACTTTTCTCTTTATCTCTCTTTCTCTGCTCCCACCATCTGCCTTTATGGCTGATCTGCCTGCTTAAATTTCCTAACTGTCTCTCAGGAGAGGCCTGGAGGTCGAGAGGGAAATCTGTTGAAGGGAGCTTAGCAGAAAAGGAGAACCAAGACAAAAACACATCATCAGTGCCATTACTGTTTTAGAGCAAGTATCAGCAGTGAATATTACGTTCAGTATCAATTTCATTAGCTTTAAAATTTTGATTTGGGATTAAAAAAATGCTCAGTAATGACATGTTTGAACTGATCTGTACGTTTTACAGTTAATGCAGAGATTGTTATTAAACTTCCCTTTGGGTTGAACTTTCTTATTGGAGTTTTACAAGCTGCAATTGAAGGCTGGACATGATGTCTAGTATTGTCTTATATGGTTGATGAGTTAGTTAGTGTGTTCCAGGTTCCAAGGTAATTGAAGACTGGAGGCAGCTGGCCAAGCTTATTGAAGATTTGCCCATTAGTAGCAGCCTTTCCCTTTTACTAATTGTTCCTGTACGGTGCCTCATGGTTTTGTCTTGGTTTGGGGTTTTAGTTGTTTTTCCTTATTTGGTAAAAAACAAACAAAAAAAACAAACAAAAGGAAAAATCAGTCTGAGCATTATTCTGAACATAAAATGTGAAGGTTCTCCTAAATTGGTAGCTTGTTGTTATTGCTTGTAAAGTTGTTATTAGCAAATCTGCAAAATACATATCAAGTAACTTAATGTGGAAAGTAGGATATGTTATCATTGTTTGATTAAAATTTTAGTTTGTCAAGTAGATACACACGCACAGTAAAAACGAAAAAAGAAAAACTACAGGAAATACTGTTTTTGTGTGAACAAGAGGWACAACAAATATTTGGTTTGAAGAGTATTTGTTTTAGTGTGGATGGTGGCTTTTTTCATTTATTCATTTCTTTTCTTAACATTTAAGTTTGTTTTTTGTTTCTTTATTTCCAAGACTAAAAATAAAGTTGACATTTGTGAGGGAGTTCCTAAATCCCTCAAAACGCTTGTCAGGGTTTTTAATTTCCGTGTGTGAGTTGCATGGCTTCGCTCGTGTCATAGAAATTTTCCAAAACAAAATCATTCTCAGAAGAGTTGCAGAGTCGCTGCTGGTATTTGAAACTTGTCTTAAAGATCTCTGAATTTAGTTCCCACAAGTTGGAAAGTGCAAGATAGAGTTTGGTGTTATATTGGGTGAAGGCAGATGAAATAAACCACAGTCGCATTGAGACCCTTTGAAACCAATATCCAGTTTGTACAATATTTTGTCATAGTTTGGTTGGTTGTAGAACTTGGAATGCAGGCAAGGATTTGAGAGATTGAAAAAAAATGAACTAACTTATTAAAACAAAAATACTGTGAATAACTTCAAATGTACAATAAGGAGCACAGGATATAAAGAGACACAGACAAACCTAAATCACAAACACCTGAAGGGAGACAGACTGGAACAGGTGAGTATGGGCGGAGCTGGAGCAGAGACAGGAAGGCAGGAGAACACTGAAGCTCAAGCAACAATAACACAAAATATTCATAAATTAACAGAAAAAAAAACTAGATCCACGTTTTATTTTTCAGTTTCGTCTCCAACTAGTTGTCCACAGTTATGAGAAACAGTCTTAAAACCATGCTCAACAATCAGCAGATTCTGGTTCACCTTTTGATGTTACAGTGCCTTACCTAATCAGCAGCTGGATCCACACAAATCTTGTTTCATTTATCTGTAAACAGAAGAGGGCAGAGTTTGATTGTGTCTTCTGTTAAAGTGCACCACATTCGTTGAGGGAATTACGATTCATGTTTCTGTGCGCAGCGTGCACTGTATTACCCTGATAGCTCGACAGCCTGATCCCAGGTGACAGTTCTGGAACATTCATGCTTATGTGTGTGTGTATAACACATGCACACATTTGCCTCTGCTCACTGTTGATTTACTCATTGAACATCTCTCCCCTTCGTGAATCCTGTGAGTCCTAATGCTGGGAGGAATCAATAATCTTCTCCCTCACCATGCATCTCCACTGGGACTCTAGCAGAGCAGCACTCTGTGGTGCTCGGTCAGTTTTGCGTTGTATTGAAGAAAGACACACACCTGCTGAAGGTTGGCTTTAAACAATTAAAAATGGGGAAAGTGTTACATGTGAGAATTGTAAGATTGGTGTCATTAAACAGCTGCAGCCCCCAGCTGCGTGGACTATAGACACACAAATTCATGCTCCCACTATCACACCTCCTCCCTCGACATTAGTCGAACAGAGTCCATTACTGCCAGGTAATAGGTGCACGTCACGAATGCAGGATGTCGTAAAGCTCTGAAGTGGTCTAATGGATTTTGTTCAGGTTGAGGTGGCACACSCACACCTCTTGTGCACACACACATCAAGATACATGCTCTGCCAGGAAACGGTTCTTTTTTTTATTACTACGTGCTGAGTGCGTTCACTCAAGCGTTGACATGTTGGAAGAGCTAAAACTGTCTGAGCAAATTACTAAAACTCTATAAATTCACTTCAGGGGCTTAAGGTGTATTTTTTTTAAAAAGTGACTCATTAAATTACAAATGTTAGTGAAATACTTTGGAACACACACAGGCCAAGTGGCAAAAGCAGAGGTTGCTGCCAACCGTTGAGCCTCATAGCCTCAGGGGGGTGGGCAGATGGGAGATGGGAGGCTTATGGACGGAGCCGATCATGTGAGCTCATTTGCTTCTAGTTCTGGCACAGAAGGGCAGAGATGCAGGAGGAGAGCGGCATGAAAAACGTGCTTTGATTTAGCTGTTGTCTTCTAGGCTTGGTCAGTGTTCCATTGCAAACCTGATGAATAAATTCATATGCTCTCCTTTTTTACACTGATTTTTTATGAAGGTTGAAAGATTGAGTGGCAATGTTTCTGCTTGTGTGTGTTT